AAAAAAAAAAAATGCTTCGAATGTTATAAAAAAGCCGCAGAATAAATAAATAAATAATATTAGAGGCGGATTTGCAACAGTGTATCGTGTACTTATAGTTGGGTAGGCGCTGCACCAAAAGAGATGCGATGAATTATTTTTTGTATCAAAAAAAATTTAATTGTGTTCATTGTAACGATATTCATGAACAAGACCATTAAAGCAAATTTAGTGTTAACAGAGTCTCAAATAAAAAAAAAAAAAAATAAATATAATTTTGCACCTTTCCATTAGATTCTTAAATTTTGATCGGCTATCCCGTGACTGAAGTGTCTCCGGATGTCTTAAATTAGGTCGGCCGCCTACCGCCGGATCACATGATGGCACCCTGCTTTAATAGTTCCTCAAAAAAGGAAATCAAAATTTGTAAATAAACCAAGTGCGTAAAATAGAAGTTTAGGATTAGTACGTTAGGGTTGTGAGCTTTGGCGATAAGTTAGAGCTTTTTTTATATGTAAAATTTTATCTCCATTATTTTTTATTAGTCTACAAAGGTCAATTTAAACACTAGTTTTTGAGTATTTTCTCCTTTTCTTTTTTTTATTCTTTCAAACGTGTTCGGATTCTATGTTGGGCTGATCCGGAATACCCAAAATTTGTGTTCTCTGATTAGCCATTTCCTTTTTTAGAGATTTGTATTACTTGCGCAAATTAATAGATGCATAAAGTCGTAGCCCACTCCAGCATTTATTAAGCAAAGATGTCCAACTGATAATTTTCTATAGACATAGTTGACTAGTATAGCTTAATGCCAGATCAGTTTTGATGTTTTCCAATCCAGATTTTTGAGAGTTGACTTGTAAAAAATCTCAAATTGCAGGATAATTAATTTATTGAAATAAAGATAAAGTGATCGCCAAAAAGTTACAGTACTGAATAGTAATCTTAAAGGTGATGCTTTGCAAATGTAATCATTACTAATGTTACTTGTGTACTGTATTTTATTTATAGAAGGCTGCTGAAAATTTTAAATATTGATTTTAATGCTCTGAACTTCATTTATAGTATTCTAACTATGGTACGCATTTCAAATATAGGACTTTTAAACATCAAAACTTTAGTAATTCATTAAGACAAACTAGCTGAGTAAGAGAGTATCAAATATAAAATATTATTTAAAAATTTTGCATTATAAATTCTTACATAAGAAATTTAGAAGTTTATGCTTTTTTTAAATAGGAACATAACAAAAATTTTTACTTTATTTTGTAGATCTTTTTATTATACAGTCTTACCTCTTTATAATTACATTTTTGGGACTATAGGAACTTTTTAAAAAAAATGTTCTTGTAAAGAGGTGTGCTTATATAGAGGTCTTTTGTTCTATATTAGATAGTAATTGGGCGTAAATATAGGTGTGATTATAAAAGGTTTTTATGTGATGAGATTATATAGTTGTGATTATAAAGAGGTAAGACTGTATATGCAGTGTTGTCATGGGACAGCTTTAGACAATACTTTGGACAATTTTGGACAATTTTGAACAATTGAATAAAGTAAAATTACTTAAAATTTTATTAAGATAGCCTATTTTAATTTTAATTGAAATGAATTCAGCACCTAAAAAAATATATAGTTATATATTTTTTAGACAGATTTATTAATTATTAAAGCCTAGACAAGCTTTGGACAATCTTGGACACTTGGACAATTTTGGATATGAACAAGTCAAAAAAGGCTTTGGACAGCCAAAATATACAACACTGGGTATAAAGACTTAATGATAGCTAGCAACTTACTGTGAACCTTAATCAGAGTATTAAGTATAAATTATCTACAAGCCAAAGTGTAGATGTAAATAATTTCAAACTAGAGTTCTAATTTATTATTCATTTATCTATTTATTTATAGATATCCAGATATTAAATGGATAAATAGATAAATGGATAGATGACCAGATTATCTGATAAATTATTCAGATAAATACAAGAGACAAGTATTAATACAAGGAGTGTATACTAATTTAACAGTTAATCTAATAGTTTATATAATTTCATATACTAATATATATAGCTTTTTTTTTTTTTTTGAATAGATGGCTTTTTCTTTTTTTTTTAAAAAAGAATCTTTTTTTTTTTTTATAAAAAAAAAAAAAAAAAAAACACAATTGTCACTTTTTTTTTTTTTATTAATGAAAATTTTTTTTTTTATAAAACAAAAAAAAAAAAACTGCTATCACAACTACTACTATAGAGAATTCTCATAGCTCTATACCCAGAATCAACAGTTGTACTTACTATTCAAATAGCTTAATAAAAATTATAAAGAAATAAAAAATAAACTAAAGGGAAAATAAGATAAACAAAAGAATAAACTCTCTTCTCAAGTGATAGATATAAGTGATTTTCTTTTTAAATATTTTTTTTATATATTAAATATATTTATTGTAATATTTTTTTTTTTATTTAAAGGGAATATATAATGGTATTGTAAAATGCTTATTTCTGTTTCAGGTTTATTCATATCAAAGTGTTTTGAAGAAGGCTATAAAAAGTTATCTTAAGAAGCACCTTTCTGATTTTATATAAAGTATAAATAATAATTAATTTATAAACCATTTTCATGATAAATAGTATAGTGTGGTGTATAATTAATTAATACTAATTTTTTTTTAATTTTAGTTAATTAATAATATTTTTTTTAATATTATTAATCGATAATAATTTTTTAAATTTTATTTTATAAATTTGCGATAATAGCTTCTTCAAAAAATAAAGAATTATTGAAATGTAGTATTGCAAAGCATTTGGTTGACAATATAGAAAATTTTTAGTTCAGAGTAATTGCCTTTCTTGAAAAGTAATATGAAAGCTTCTGCTATTGTAAAATAGAAAAAAAGTTTCAAAGTAAGCAATTGTTATCACTTATTGTTTAAAGCTAATAATGATGTGTGTTCTGAATCATCACGATTGCAAGGGCTATGTTTTTAGAAGTTGCAGTTTCTACTCTACTGAGTGAACATTATACTTTTGCACTTGCAGAATATTGTATATGATAAGAAAAATATGAAATATTGTATTGAAAAATATTTTGTATATATTTACTATTTTTTTTTATTTTTTTTATTATATAATATTTTAAACAATACTAATATTTTAATAAATATAGAATAATTTTAATAATAGTAGTTCATTATATAATTTGTTCAAAATGATTATAAATAAATCAGAGATTTGGCACTTCTTTAATTCCTAACAAAATACTTCTGAACCTAAATCTAGAGAATTTAGAACTCCTTCTCAGAATAGTGGTTCAATGGCTCTTCTTTCACAAGAAGACATAGATGATTTGTTTGAGCTTAATTACAGTTTGAGATTTTTCTAAATTTGATTAGTGTAACCAAATTATTCTAGAATTTTAAAAATCGTTAATGATCTATAAAATAAATTTTGATTGGCTGTTTTTTGCAAAGTTCCGGGTCAAAGCCACATAATTTTTTCTTTAATCTTTAAATTTCTGAATTATCGAAGTTGGTATTTGAAGTTTTTAAGATTTAGAATCCACAAAAGATATAGTTGAATCCACTTATGCATCTAAGTTATGTACACCCAAAGAATATATAGTTTAATAGTACTTAGTTGAGTCTTAAATCTTATTTTTCTAATATATTTTATCCACTTTAATGTAGTTGTTGAGCATAAATATTAATTATTAGAGCGTGGTCTAGAATTGAGTTAGAAGGGAAAAAACATAAAGCGAATTATACTAATAGTGTAGTGCTTTAGTAACAGATATTATTCACAAGCAAAGCCACCAATAAAGTTCGAAAAGCAAACCTCTCAAAAAAAAGGTGAGAAAGATAACTAAACTAGACATTGAAGGTAGTTTGTTATAGTCAAAAAAACTTACTAATCGGTTTAGCCTTTAAATCTGAATCTCAGGTAAGAATCTAAAGAAGTAATGAATGAATTATTAATAAAAATGTTAGTGAAGCTCTTGTCTCATCTTCTAGTTAGAGATTAACAAAAATTACAGCTGAAAATATTAATAAGCTAGATAAGTAATTATCATTATGGTTATTTATTACATGATGTATTTAACTTATTGTTTTATTTTCAATAATAGGCATGTAAGGAATATCTTAGCCATTATTATTATTACTCAACATAAGGAATTCAAGTTTTAAGGTTTCACTTTAGTTTTAATTCACATTGCTTCTGACCATCATCAATAGCAGATCAAAATTGGTGTAGCGGTAACAATATAATAATAAGAATTTATTCTTAAAAATTTATAATAGTTATGATTTTATTAATCGTTCTTTGTTAAGCTTTCATCATAAGCTCATTAATAGTAGTTTCTTCGTCTATAATTTCTTCGGTACTATTTAAGTCATATATTTCTTGCAATATCGTTAAAAGCATATCCTTTGTTTTATTTTTTAGGTTAGTATACTTTGCGCATTGTGACTCAGGAAGTGAAATAAGCACTGAATTAATGATTGCAATGAGTTCTTCTTTTCTCATTGCACTTTCATTTTTTAGTGCATCAGCCTCTTGTTCTGTTACTGGAATTGGTTTCCAAATGTTAGTACTACTTTGCTGTAATAAAGTATTTTGAATAAATTTTTGTCGTCTTTCTTTTGCAAGTATACTGAATGATTTCATTTCCTCACTTAATTTAATATCTCCATCTAAATTAGCTAATGTGTTATTAATTTTTTTAAGAGTGAAAAATTCTTTTTTCCTCAAATATGTACAAAAGCGTTGTTGTTCTACATGAGAATTAGGTCGAGTTCGTTGTTCCAGATTTTCATTATCCTCATATCCAATAACATTAAACAGGTTGGTATACAACTAAATTGTTATTAAGCACTATGTTAAACTTAATTTAATTCAAATATTATATCCAAATTAGAATCTGCTTATTCAGAATCTAACAGTTCTAACTTTGGATTAGACTATCTGGCTTAAGATCTTAACCAATTGATATTTAAAAATATATAATTAATATATATTATAATGCTATATGCTTATTTTTAAGTTGTTAAGTGGAATAGTCTAATTCTAATTAGAATATCTAAATTTTAGATTACCAGTAAGCAGATTTTAATTAAGGTATAATATAAGTGTGGCCAAAAAAAAAAAAAAGAGACTTTGGGCTTTTAATTTTATCATCTATTTTTTATTAGATTTAGCCCTGATAGTAATGTATAATCAGATCTTTTATGAGCTGAATCTGATAAATAATAAATATTAAATATGAAAGCCCGAAGTCTCTCTTTTTTTTTTTTTTTTTTTTTTTGTTAGCAGCATTCATATATTAAATTATCTTTAAAAAATTCATATAGTTTCTTGCAGCAATCTCCCAATGATGTTGTGATGGTACTGGAGGAATTAAAGACTTTAATGCTTTATTAATTTCTTTTACAATAGCATCAAGCCCCTGGTATTGATTTTGAAGCCCAGAACGAGATACAACTAAAAAATTTTCAATAGCTTCACGAATATGAGGCTTCAAATATAATAAATTTTCTTTGTGTGATATTTCTAGCATTCTATAAATTGGATGACGTCTAGATGATCATATTGGTGCAAATTTGTATCTAGCTACATTATGCAATAAAGGTTGATTAGTTCTAACTCCAGTACAAAAATAAATAATAGCCTGAAGATAAGTAAAAATCTATTATCACCAGATTTTTTTTGTTATATTTTAGTATTCTTATTTTCTTATTGTAAATTGAAATTAAAACATCTAACCTGTTCAAATTTTAATTTATATATATCATCAGTTTGATCTTTTGCCCATATTAAATAACCGTTAGGAGTTAGATCATTATGACTCAAGACATATGGCCAAATTAACTCTGATGCTATAAAATAATGATATATATTACATATTAAGTCCCATGATTTATGGTGATCAATACATTTGTGAAAAAATCCTAGTTGATTATCTGTTCGATATCCTTAACATCGGGCAAATGCTTTTATATCTATTTCCCTTAATAATTAGAAAGTAAATGTAAGTAAAAATAATATAAGGTAGATAGAGGTAATTTGATAAATCTATTTTTATCAGCATATAGCTTGTCATTACATGATAGAAATTACATGATTTTTATACCATTCGATGAGTAGAATCGAATGGTATAAAAATTATGTGATTTGGATTACGGGGTCTCAAGATATCTTGATTCGTATAAAATATATTTTTTTTAAAAAAAATTAGATTATAGAGATAATTTGACGAATTGGGAATATCTTGTGACCCCGTGATTCAAATTAAACAATTTTTATACCATTCAATTCCTCTCAGTGAGAGGAATCAGATAGTATAAAAATCGTTTAATTTGAATCACAGTCATGAGATATTTAAATATATTTTACTATATAATTCTATAACTATATAATAAAAATGAAGTAACTCATAATATCGCAATCTGAATCAAATAATTTTTATACTATTCAATTTTTCTCACTGAGAGAAATTGAATGGTATAAAAATCGTTAGAATTGAATCATGAAATCACAAGATATTCCTGATTTATCAAAAATATGTTTCTTAACATTAAATTTTTTAAAAAATTTATTTTTATAGAAATCACACTATCCTGTAACTCCATGATCTATTTCTAACTATTGTGATCACGTGATGGTAAGATACGCAAATTTGTCAAATTACTCTTATCTACTTTAATTAATAATTAATTTATACCAGTTTAATTCGACAAATGATTTAAGCATATTCATTTCTTCGTGTAGAGCACCGGGGAGTAAAATTAGCCATGGAAAGTTTTTTCTTAATTTTAATGCTTGGTTATATGGTACACCATCACATACAACAGATATCTATTTGCACTTTCCAGATTTAATTCCAGCAATTATTTCAATATGTTCTAAAACTTTTTGAACATTTACTAGAGAATTAGGATTGACAGGAATTGGATCAGGAACGTATAATTCTGGAATTTTTATTTTTTGATCTGCTATAGTTTTTTGTGTTATGCTAATTTTAGGTTTTTGCAATTTAATACTAGATTCATTTAGTTCTTTAGGTTTGTATGGCTTAAATGTTATTGCCTTATTTATATTTTCTGATATTAATGGTTGTTGAAAAGATGATATTTGATTTATAGAAGTGAGCATTGGTAATTTAGCATTGCATTTAGAACAATTTTACTTTTTATTATCAATATTTAGCGTAAAACATTGCGAACATTTTTTCATTTTATTAGTTAAATTATTTTGTTTGTTGATAAGCTGATCAATTTCATTTATTTCTTAAGATTTTTCCGCAAGTAAGTTATTTATTATTTCATTAATAAAATATTTAAGTTCTTCTTCAAACTTGTTTTTCATATCATTATTTAAATAAAATAATTGCTTAATATCATTTTCACTAAGCAAAATGCATTTCATGGATCAATTTCTAATTGGCTGTTATTATTTGTATCAAAATTAAGAGCTACAAAACTAGTTACAGTATGATATACAACTGTATTGTGACCCTGATCTAAATAATTTTTTTGGCCTTTTTGTTTATTATCAAAAGCTAAAATTAAAAATCCATCAGGTAAAGGTATAGATTCAATCACTAAACTTTCAATCCAATTTATAAATTTTGTATAGCCTCCTCCACCAGTAATATGATTATCAATATCTACTATAAGTTTTGATCGAGCAATAGAATACTTAATTGCAGATACGCAAGATTTATTTCAGAAACATATTTGCTATGTCGTGATTTGTAAATTGCATCTATAGCAGTTACATGCTTGAAATTTTTATTTCGACATAGCTGTTCATCATCATTGTCTGTAAGTGTCTCAATAAACTTTACTATTACAGAATTACGATATTGAAGCCAATTAGAAGGATCAAAGGCTAATAAGTTCTCTAACAAAAACCACGTTCGATCATTAATTAAATAAATAATATCATCATATAAAAATTTTCGTTCTAATAAAGCAATTTTAACAATTTTTATTACATGTTTTTGTTGAGTACTATATCGTTCATTCCATTGTTCTTTTAAGTATATATTTTCATTTTCTAATTTATTTTTTTCATTTGTTAGTATTTTAACTTGATTTTGATATAAGTTTAAAAGCTTTAATTTAGTATTAAGTTTAGTAATTTGTTTTTTAAGAAATTCGCATTCATTTTCTAATTCAGAAATTCTATTATTTTTAGCTTGAATAATTTGTAATTGATTAGAATGATTAGTTACAAGATTAGCTAAAGAAGTTTTCAAAGTATCTATTTGTGTTAAAAGATCATTATTTATTGTTACTTGAATTCCGATATCAATGGTTGAAGATTCTTTTGGAGTATCACTTAAAATCGAGCTATTATTTAATGTTAATAAATTGCGACTTCTTTTTTGAGGATAATCAGATGTTTTACCTCTTAAATAGTCTAAATAGATATCTTTTGCAAAGATCTGATTATCCCTTAATATGTAGACCAACGCAGGCAAATTTGTCTGCGTTTTTGCACTTTTTTAGCTCTGATTTACTTTTTTAAAATGCTAAAATATTTAAATAAAACTTTGCACAATT